AACCTACAAGGAGGATTTGTCGCGTGCGCGTGTCACAAACGCACATAAGGATCGCCAAGCGAGGTGTTATAGCTGATGAAATAATATTTCATAAAAAAATATCAAAAAGTGTCAAATGTTTTCAGATGAACAGAAGTTTCGGGTATATAACCCTTCTTCGGTGTGAGGAAAACCGTTGTACTTTCCTCACACTGACGAAGGGTTATACACCTGAAACGTCTGTTTATTTTTTGGAAGGCATTTGCTACTTTCTGGTATTTTTTGTAATAAAACTATCACTTCTTCATCTATCTAAAGTTCAAGTGTCACCATTCTATTCACCATTTATTAAGCGAAGTGAGGTCTTGCTTTGGTCACAAATATCTCTCTCTTTCTAGTGGGCGAGCAAAGGCGGCGTGAAAACAGAAACAAAACCGCAACAAACCTGGGGCCAGTTTCTCGAAAGTCCCGCGGTAACTTTCCGGGTTGCCTGCGTCGCAGACGCTCTAAACCTTCGAGCGCGTGCGCCGGCTACAACGCAGGCTACTTTCCGGGCCCTGAAAGCTGTTTTCTGATTCCCGGGTTCTGATTCCCGGGTTTACATTCAAGATAAACGTTCTAGTTTGAAAATGGTACAATGAAACTATCGTTAACGAAGCAACTAGTTTGTGAGCTAGGAACTGTGCTACTATTTACATGTAACAAGTTGTGATTTTTAAATTTGCCTTCGGGCCTGAAAAGTTTCCCGGCCTTTCGCTGCTTTCGAGAAACAGTTGTTTTAGCGGCCACAAGCAATTCTTTTAGCGATAAGTATCGCAGGTAGAAGCGCCTTTAACAGAAAATGGATGTGATTTGGACCATTACCTTCAAAATAACAGCGGAAATTGAGGTAAGAAAGCATATTTGCGTCTTATGGGACTTAGGGCGGTGAGGGCCGGGATATGTGAGTTTAAATAAGGTTATTTTTAGAAGTCCATTCCCCACCTGGGACGTCTGCAAAAATTCAGTTGATTGTTTAAAACGTCATCAAGTACACGTGCGACTGCTGCAAAGCAAACCATGTTGGATATTTTGATGGGGACCCACCAAGAGACGTCCCCTTATTCCCTCTTGACAAAACTGAATAAAAGTTTGCGGACCTCTCCGAAAACCAACTTTCAATTAATTAGACTGTTCACAGTCCCCTATTTTTTCGTGAGATCGTTGAGATATAGCGCGTCTTTTAATGACGGCCATCTTGGTTTTCAAATGTACCGAGGGGGCGGGCGTATGGGACTATAGCCCCCTTGCCCCCTAAGTAGTTTTGACACTCATGCAACATGCAGGTCGAAACGCAAAGCGCTCGATCTCGATGGAAAAATAGAGGACTGTGAACAGTCTACCAATTAATTTCAAGTGCGTTAAAATTGGTCTAAAAATAACTTTAGTGAAATCCACATATCCCAAGGGTTAGACTGAGAGCTTCTTTCTCTCCCTCATCATTCTCCCAGCTATGCCATCAACAGAAGATCAGACAGAGTTCTTGGACAGAGGAAACTCAAAGTGAAAACCCCTCAAAACACTTGGCTTTTTCGTCCTTCCCATAACCCCTTGCGCAGTGACTGGTACGACGCAGGCTGGGCACTAGGTAGATTCTGCAACGCGCGGAGGCGCCAAGTTGCGGAGACGAGATCAAAGTGGCCGATCAAAGGGTACTGTGCTACAATCTGACCGACAAACAAAGTTTTCTTCTCTTGCATTGGGTAAAATATCTCAGGAATCTTATGTCAGTGCAAAATAGATCTGATCTGAGGCATATTATGTCTCAGGGGAGCGCGTGAATGTTGTTGATTCGGTTTGTGTCAATGGATGGAAAATTGTGATCGCACCTGGTAAGTTGAACAATGACTAAAGTGTGGCTGAGGTATTTCATTTCTATGGCTTCTATCCTGTTATTAATTTTAATGAATCTAAAATCTAAAAAGCGAATAAAAGGGAGTTTTATGTTGTGAGTGTCGCACCTCGGCGCCTGTTTGTAAAACTCGTTTTAGCGGTGAGGGATCCGTAGACTGCTCTGCAGATCTCGTTGAACGTGCTTTGAGGTGGAAATGGGGGTTATGTTTTACAGTTTGACCAATTGCTGGTTTATTACTTTGTTTATTACATTAAGCAAAGTATCATTCGTCGGTAAGTTGAATTGTTTGCCTTTAGTTTGACCACGGCCCGTGTAAACGATGTCGCGTCGATTTTTGAGCGCTCAAGTTCTTCGTTTAGTACTTGCATGCAACCGTAGCTAATAAAACTAATTCCGTTATTTAAGCTTATCTATAATTTGACAGTGTGAAAAGTAATGAAAATGAAACAATTATCGTTTTTCTTTGGGTGAATAATGTAGAAAGCTTATCGATTTATTCAAGCTCATTAAAAGATTGTTTATTAAGGAGCTGTCATAAGAAATACTCAAATGTAGTTGTGTTACTTCTTGCAGAGAGTGTGTCCATCACTTTAGAACCCCACAACCCGACTCAAGTCCTAGTCAACAGCGAAGTGGTTCTACGATGGAACTATACCCTCGGTGGAGATCGATTCAGGGAGGTTGAATTCCGAAGGACCAGGACCGGAGCGGACGAAAAGATCGGACTGATAGATAGAGAGGTGTTTTTGTACTTAGCATTCCAATCGGGAAGATTTGAAGTTCAGGCGCCGGCAACCTTGGTAATTCGCAATGTCACGGCGGACGATGCAACTGATTATATACTCACAGTTGAAACTAAAACAACTTCTGATATAGAAACCGCAGAAAGTTCAATAACCCTCGATGTTCTCCGTGAGTTTCCTTTTGTTTTCTTAATGCTTGTTTAAAGCGCAACCAGTATGTCCTTGATTTGTCGTATGTGTGCAGTCCTTCTATTAAGGTGTGTAAAATATTGGGAAGTTGTGCGGAATTTAGGAGGTTGCATGGTGAGAAGAAAATGTCTACATATAAAAGATGTCTAAGTTATACATGTATGCCAAAAACTTAGGCCTATTTCAAACGTCGTACTACTGTCGTGCTGAACTCAATTGATAGAATTAATTCTACTTTGGCACGGTAGTGGTGCAACATTTTTATATAAATCATGTTGTTCAGCAACTTGAATTTAGTTCACGGCAATTAAATTTGACAGGGTCTACCGTGCTACACATCAGTAGCACGGCTCGTTTTCAAACGTCGCGCTATTGCTGTGCTGAACTGAATTCATAAATGATGATAATGTCTATGTTTAACTGTTTTGACTCTACTGCGCTTGACTGTGATGTTTTTCTTTATTTCGAATTTGGCGCGACTGAATTGAATTCAACGTTTAAAACCAATCCCTTGCCATTGCCGTGCAACTTCCGGATCAAATTCATTTGAGTTTGACACCGCAGTAGCGCGACATTTGAAACAGGCCTTATATGCAATTTTTCTGAAGATTTCATGATCAAATGGAATTCCTGCTGTCATTAGATTTGCAACAGCATTTAATACTCTGCTCAGTAGCCTTGAATTAGCATTTTACATGGAAGTTTGTTTATATATTACTTTTAAGAAACCTCACGATCATTTATCTTAGTCTCAGACTAAAACTAACATTCACGTATTCTTGTCGTAAAAACAGTGAAGGAATTCTTGACTTTTTACTGGCGCTTTAAGTTTGCGGATGGAAATAGGAAATGTATGCAGTGATGTTGTCTCCTATGACTGACTATAGTTTTGTTATGATTTGACTTTAAGCTGCAGAAGACACAATCATAATACTAACTACATCCACTTACCTGGCAGTTTCTATTATGACTGCAATATCTTTCCTTACAAAACAATGTGTTTTTTCACCAAACAATGAAACTGTTAGTCCAATATCTGGTCATTTCTGTGGATACCATGTAGCTCAGAACTTGACAGTGACCTAAAAAATGCTTCAGTTCTCTTCCCAAACAAAGATTTAGAAATGCTTTTGTGAAAGGCTTTGATCAATTTTGCAGAAGAATGTTTTGAAGAGGAAAGCCCTTTTTTTGGTCTTGCCCCCCAAACCTGCCTAGGACACATCACTATGTGAGTCTGGTATAAGGTAATTGCCAACGAGCAAGCCGAGCGAAGATGGTTGGCTTGCGAGGTGGCCAGCTTAATGCCACGTAAAGTACTGTGGCAAGCAGAAAAATTCTTGATCGTGCTTTAAGGTGTAGATTCCCTGGGGATTTTAGTGGCCTTAGATTTCACTTGTAGTTTCACATGAGTTTTGATGAGCTTTGTTGTAAACAAACAAACCTTCAAAGTTCGGACAATGTCCCGGAACCCAACGCCTGCCACGGTCTACACTATGGAAATGTAGTCACATCTACATGTACATTTTACATGTAGTGGATGGGGCCTTCCTAGGGTCATTTTGTTCACACCCACTCATAAATTCGTGATTGTGATGGTTTGAGTTTCAATCTCTGGAAAAAATTTGTTTAAACCAGGGGTCGACAGCAACTTTTCAAGTTGGTTGCCCTTCAGGGACCAAGCCTCACAATCTAGTCGTCAGAGGAAGACTATTAGTTGCCCAAAACGTTCAGTACAAACAAATTAAATAATGATATAACTGCAAACCAGTGGAGGCATGTGTGGCCAAGTGGTTAAGACAGAATCTGTGAGGAAATTGAGTAATTTCAATTTTCAGTGGACAAAAACCTTGTACCAGAATAATTTATAGCATATCACACTCTTTTTTACATTTTTCGAGGGATAAAGATATAGTTAGTCGTCTGTAGTAACACCAAAAAAAATTTCTTACAGGAGCCCAAGAAAATAAATGTCAAATTTCCCCAACTGACATGTTACACATGAAATGTTCAGAATTTTACCTGTGTTTTCACAATTCTTGTGAAATTTTGAAATTTATTTTCTCGGACAGAAATTTCAGTTGCCTGATCTGGCAACTAGGATCCTGAACTTGGTTGCCCCGAGGAAATTTTTTGTTGCCTTGGGCAAGCAGGCAGCCGTGAATGCCTAGCCCTGTTAAACTCAACACAATTTGTAAAATTTGATTTAATTTTTTATTATAGTTCCAGTGAATTTCACCACTGTGCCAAGTAACAAGACGGCAAATGAAACAGACGCAGTAACTTTCCTCTGTAGTGCTTCTGGAAACCCTGTGCCAACAATCACATGGCTGAAAGATGGACAAACAGTGGGCAATCAAACAACTTTAACATTTACTGTATTCAGAAACCACTCAGGGAACTATTCATGCTTTGCAGATAATGGCTTGAATGTAACTGTTACTGCCAGAGCTTACCTTGATGTCCAGTGTATGTATGATTTTTTTTAGGTTTGTACATGAACGCTGTAGTATGCATAATTCATGATTTCAAAATGGGAGAAAAAATTGTAGGAGGCAGCTGAAGTATTTCTTGCTACTGTTGCATTTGTATGTTTGGTTGAGTTCCGAAAATGTAAATAGTTTCATATAATTTTTGGCTTAACTGGAAACAAAAACATGCTACTAAGTTCACAAGAGAGGCTTTACAAAAAACTGCATGTAGATTCAATTCTTCAAATTTTAAGATTAAATTTTACATGTATTTGGGGCCATTCAAATTTTTCACTTACTAAGCTTATGCTTTGAAAAGTGCATGGGAACCTTCATGAAAATGCCAACAGTACAAGTGCATAGCCAGAATGTCATTGTCGCGTCGTTACCCAAGAATTAATTTTGTGGTCAACAGGTCACAAGGGAGTCTATTTTAATTTGTATCTCAAAAATAATAAGAGTCATTTAGTATTCTGAGATGAATGCAATTAACTTTTTTTCAAACAAATTATTTTGCTCGTAATTACTCTGTGACTGTATAAATATTATTAAAATATGAAATTAATGATTTTTTCCTTTTGCAGTCAAGCCTGAAAATACCCAACTCTCAATGGGCAGTTTAAACACCAGTGCAGTTTTACTGGGTAGCACAGTTACCTTTAACTGCTCCACATCTTCATATCCATCTCCACATGTTTACTGGTTTTACCACAATGAAGTGTTTATTGGCAGTAATGTCAGTGGGTTTTACAACCTAAAGATGAGTAGAAGTGGTGTTTATTCCTGTTTGCCTGTAAACAGGGCTGGTGTTGGAGAAACTGCAACTGTCAACTTGACTGTTGTTGGTAAGTTGTTGTATTGTACTTAGAACTAATCTTTCTTGAGGGGGGGGTTACAGTTTACAGGGGGGTGGTGTGTGTCCCAAATCTTTGTAACTTGTACTTGTCTTGTTTAATTTGAAAATACCATTAGATAGCATTAAGAAAGAGCCAGAGATATTGAATTGAGTAGAATTGATTATAATATTATTATGGTGTTTTAGCAGTCAAGACATGCTTTTGGCTTTAAAGTTAAACCACAGAAGTACATGTGAAAATAATAAAAGAAGCAATTTGGACCATAATCTTAAAAACAATGGTGAAAATCGAGTTGCAATGTAAGAGAACATTGATTTTTGTATTGCATCTCATTTCGTAGAGGCCTTTTGTCCCCTGTGCTTCCCTTACATGTATGTGATGAAATGCATCTTATTTTGCTTTTTTTCGTGCATCTTCAGAACCTTGGATATTTTCCTGAAATACATATTTGAATTCATACTAGGGTTTCAGTAGCTTTCAACAGTGTTTTTTGCAAAAATTTCTACAGAAAAAAATTAATGCTTAAAAAATATTTTTGATGATGCAGTGTTTGTTTGCCTGCACAGCATTGTGGAATAGCTGTTTCCTTGCCAGGCAAACATTTTAGTGTTCAATACCCACTTGGTACATGGTGTTTTTTTTTTCATACCAGGATTGTCACTAAGATTTCCAGTTTTGGGGTTTACGTGTATACCGGTAATACAACAAGAAGGTTGGGGAATCAAGCATCTTTAGGGATTTCTTTTGGCCTTTTTTTGTTATATTTTTTAATGAAATAGCTAGGGGTCACCTTCAAAGTAGCTGATGGAATTCCCTGAGGCTCCTGGCTCTTGATGACAACTCTTTTTGAGGTAGAAAATTGTTGTACATGTATTTCAAGCAAAGGCTGTGGGGTTTAATTTAATTAATTGAATTTACACTTAAATTCAGGTTTATATTTCTAAACCTCTGACCTAATCATTCTGTTCATACACTGTACATAAGGGCTGTCACTAAGGCAACTCCTCACGAGGATGACTCCTGCTACTTCATTACAAAACATCAGGAAAGAAGAAGTAAAAGAACTCTCTAATAATTGTTCAATTCCCACGCACTAATATATAACAATTATTCACCGAAGTGGAGGTGACTAGTGGATTTTTAATTAACTCATTTACTGTTGCCAACGATTACAACTTTGGTGCACGATGACCAAACGGCCGCGGTCGTCGCTTTTTCTTGTCAACAAATAAAACTTTTGAAGGCATTTGTTTAGCTCATGCGGGGAAGTTTCTTCAAAAGGAGTTGTGAATTCTTTTTGTATTTAAACTCATTCTGTATAAAAGATTATTAGATTTAGTTTTAAGCTTATTTATGAACAAGTCAACTAAATAAAGTAACGCAAGACTTAGCTTAATTTGCATTTGTAATTCACCGATTTTATCGATTATTTTATGTCAAAAAGGCAAAGCTTTACCTGTTAAAACTTCCAAACCGAACTTCGTCACCTTTTTCATGTATTTTGGGAACAGCTTGCTTGACTAGTTGTGAAATTTCTTTTTTTGTTACGGCAGCAAACCAGGAAGGCATTTTGCTCGCAACTTACGTGAGTTTGGCGTCGCTCGGTTGGAGGAAATGAAGGTGAATCAGTGAATAGTGCAGGATATTCACTGATTGAGTAGCCAATCAGAGCGTGCAAAAAACACTATCCACTGTTTTAGTATATACTAAATTGGAATATACACATCAACTTGAAATCTTGGTAACAACCCTGACACATGTACTACAGTGACTGTGTAGAGCGCAATAATAATATTATAACAATTATGAATGGATTGTTTTAGGAAAACAATAAAATCATTTACATGTAGGAATATTTTGATTGGTAAATAAGTTTTACAATACTTATTTTTGACCTTTTTTCAGATCTACCCAGAGTTTCAGTCTCTCCAGCATCATTAATTATTTTGGAGGGTATAGATAATGCAACTCTGACATGCAATGCAACTGGGATTCCTTCTCCTGTGATAACTTGGAGTTTAATCAGTACTGCTGGTCCGAGTATCCTGTCTCAGTCAGCAGTCCTTAATCTGTTCAACATCAGCAGGCCTGGGACACCTACAGAAGAGGTTCATTACCAATGCACTGCTTCAAATGGAATTGGGAATCCTGCCGTCGATAATGTGACCATTACTGTCCATTGTAAGTACAGAGTGCCTGTATTAGCTTGTCAAAAGTAAGTTGCCACCCTCTTGCAAGGGGTGGTAGGTAGTAGCTGAGAGGATGTCTCATCTCATAAAAAAAAAGTCTTGTCTCAAGAGACAAGATCCTAACACTTACACAGTTTGTAGAAATGAAAGAGACATAATTTACGGCAATAGTTCCTTTAAGTTTGTAAGGTGTGAGAGCAAACATCAAATCACATGGTTTGCAATTGCACAGGCTTGAAAAGTCCTTGAATTTTAGAGGCATCCTTGAATAGTCCTTGAATGCCATTTTCCTTGAAAAGTCCTTGAATGTTAGTCAAGACAGTTGAACTGAAAAATGTAGAGAAACTGGTGGAGCAAACAGTTCAAGCCTAAAAGTCTTTTTGGCTTGGGACTGGGAATATGCATTTAAGAACTGCGTCGCTTAGTGGAGGTGGGTGCCTGTAGTGTCCAGTGGCTTCCACTTTTGGCAAAGCCAGCCCGTAAACAGAGTTACTCCCCCATGGCTGGTAAACCCAAGCTTTCCAGCCTTGAGCTCCTACACCAATGGAACCAGGCACCTATCACACTGATTTATCAGTGGAAAAATAAAGGGGGGGGGGGAGGGATGGGGGTAGGACAATGATCCAAAGGCTAAACAAAGAGAGGGGCTGCTAGGAAATGCTGTACTTTGCACATGGAGATCGTGCCAGCAAAGCTGACTGTGCTTAAGCAATTGTACTGACCACTGACCGACAACAATCACTTGCACTCCTCGTTGTTAAGTGTGTTAAATTACATTTTAACTTCATTTAATTACAAATCTGCTTCTTACATTCCTGGTAGGTTATCCTTGAAAATTGAGTGAGGTCCTTGAAAAGTCTTTAAAAAATGGATATAAATTTTTGTTTCAACCCTGAATCAGGTGTGGAAATGGCTGACTTTCTTACATGTTCATGTGTATGAAATTCATGTTCATAAAATTAATGTACATGTGATACACTGTACCAGTGGTGTTATTTTAACATTACACTGTACATGTTTGTGAACTGTCCATGGGCACATACATGTACAGTACATTGAAATCATTGTGTTGAAATCATCAATTTAGTTAGGGGAAATAAACCATTATGCTGCATCAGGCTGTATCCAATTCCCTGCTGAATTTATAGCCAGTGTTCATGTAAATCTTAAAATTTTGCTGTATAATTTTTATTTTTTTTAGATCCTTCTAAGATTGACCAAGCTCCATCCAACAAGACCATAGTTGAGGGAAGCAATGTCACTCTTCATTGTAATGCAACTGGTAGCCCAGCCTCAAATATCACATGGACAAAAGATGGCAGTCCAACAGCATTACATGAGGGAGAACAGTACGCCATTAGTAACATATCACGACAGCAACATGGCAACTACAAATGTACAGCATGGAATGGCGTGGGTGAACAGTCAAATACAAGCTTCAGCATAAATGTCCTTTGTAAGCAATTTGAAGGAATTTTTTTTTCTTCATGTGACTGTATTTTTTATTGGAAGTTCACTTAGGTGGAAAGTGATTATACATGTATCTTACAAAGGCCTTGGAAGATGGGCAGAAAGTGTATTAATAAGCAGTCATATGCTGTTATTAACTATGCAATTTAATACATACATAGGTTGCACACTTACCTCAACAGCTTGTCTTTAACCCATTCACTCCAGGGAATTTTGCCAAAAAAACGTGTTTTGAAGCTAATTGAGTTGTTTTCTGGTCACTGTTTGGCCATAAAAAGCTAAGTCTTACCAAAAAGCTGTTTTGAAGCTGTATATTTTGTGCACACTTTGTAATCATCTGAACTGGGTACAAAATTGAAGTTTGGGCTTGCGCAGAATTAAGCAACTTTTCAAGGTTTGGAGTTTGAAACAGACACAGCACACTTGACTTTTCTTTTCACTTTCTCTTCTCCCCTCTTCTTTCGCTCTTCTCACCTTGTCGTGCATTTTCATCATGGGAGTTTTTGGGTCAATGTTAATTGTTTTTTTTTTGCCTTTTTCTCTGGGCCTTGTTGACCGAAGTGTGCTCATTCTGGTTTGGTTTGAACGATTTCTTCACCCTGCACAGTTAGATGACAAAGTTGTCTTTGACCATAGAAACTGATAACATCACAAGCATTAGGAGGGACATGGTTCCGCATGGGTGATTTGGAGTGTTTCAGGGGCAAATGGGTTAAAGCACCCATAACCTTAAAAAAATATTTATTTCATTGAAAGTGCACATTGCTACAAGAACTTCTGCGAAAAAATTTGTCAATTTGAACTCAACATGATTTCTTTAGATTTTTTTAACCTTTAAATTTGCCACCATTAATTTTGGAAACCTGGGGAACAAAAGAGCCGCAATGTAGATCAAGAAGCCAGAAATTAAAGAAACACATTCACTTAAGATACTGTGAAACAAGTGTGGAGTTCTAGATTTATTTCTTCCATTATACAAATTGAAACAATTGTTAAAGGGCAAAGCATTCCAATTAGGTACCTGGCAGTTACATGCAACAACACTGGTAACCCTAAGAAAGGGATAAGCATGCCTAAAGTTGTGGTTTTCAGTTCCTGAATTTATGTCCTATTACATCATGTAATTACGAGCCTAACAATACCGTGATCAGAACAACAGTTGTGCCAAAGGTATTAGACTTAGAGCGCGTTCCAAAAGTCAGAACTGGCTGGCTGGACCATGGCCGGACCAGACTTTCTGGCAATGAAATAGGCTTTTTCCAAGAGGTTTAGCTGAAAAACCATCTCCTCTACACAGGTGTATAATATTTTAGATTTGACTAATCTGGATGGTTAGTTTTGATTAAAGGTGAAATTCTCATTAAGATGGGAATGGGTTGGCCGGTCAGTTCTGACAAATGGAAAGCGCCCTTAAATTTCTCTTAAAATTAATTTTCTTTAAAATCTCCAAAACGCAAAATTTTTTTGAGGAAAGTTCTTTTTGTAATATGCTCTTTCAATTAATGTAACAGATATGCATTTTAAGAGATCAAGTGACAATCCTGGAAATGTTTAAAACACTTGATAATCCTTGATATGTATTGCAGCTGTTCTTCCAAGTTAACTTGAACTGCTTTTCAAATTGCTTTGCTGTTTTCTTCCAAAGTTTGAAGCATTTTTCAACATGTTTCTAGCCTTACAAATAACAAAATAACATTATAAAATTGATCTTCTCTTTTAATTTTGCAGATGAGCCTGCCATATCTATCCACAAGTGTCCAAGTCCAATAACAGAGGGTAGCAATACCACTTTATACTGTAATGCAACAGGCAATCCAGTGCCAGTTGTTACCTGGATATATCAAGAAACAGGTGTCACTCTTAGCAGCACAGAGGAGTTAGTTTTTACTTCCAGTGATCGTAGTCAAGCGGGAAGCTATAAGTGCCACGCATTCAATGGTATTGGTTCTAATTCTACAAGAAAGTGCATTTTGGATGTGTTTTGTAAGTACGATTTGTTATATACCGTTAGAAAAACATTAAGAAATATTCATAATGTTAATGGAGTTGTGAACTCTGCTAAATCCTTGGTTCTGGTGATGCTCTTATGGTAGGAGCAGTGATTTTGTCACAATTTGTTAATAGTGAGTCCTGGGACTCATCTCATGAAAACTTATGAGTCCCAGTACAGAATCAGTGAGTCCCAGTTCAAAACAAAATGAGTCCTTACTATATAAAAAGATGCAACAACTCTCATGAAACCAGACAATCGTGTTTAATCTGTAGTTTTCTTTCAATGGCTAGCTGAATAGCAAATCACTGGTATCTCTGTAACATAATTATTACAGTGTACTGAAATTAAATAATTAATACAGTCTTCCTCACAAAAATTTTCTAATTTCTAATTTCTTTTTAAAGTTAACAAGCCCTAAAGCTTTACACAATCAGTTAGAAGATAGCTTTGCCGTATTACGAACCACTGTCCACCATCCTGGTTCAACCACGTGCTTTCCATACAGTATTTGGCCAAAATAATGAGTAACTACTCCATCAGTAAAATATACATGGGCGCTTTTAAAAAAAATAGTTCCTGAGAATTATTTTGTGTGGAAATATTTGTCTATTACTCTTTTGTTTGGAGGTAGCTTTCAATACATATTTTAAATTGTGCAAACTGGGCATTCTTCAAAAACATTTTTTGGATCGATTGATCGTTGCATCCCAAAGGATGCAAGCTGTCTGCATCTTTGAGAATTTAAATGCATTAGGGACACAGGACACAGGGGTAACAAAATCACTGTAGGGGGATAGCTCTTTCCCTCCAAAACTTCTTGTAGGCATTCTATAGCTTGAGATGTTTATAAAGATTCCCTTCAAAAATCATCATAAAAATTGTGTGATTTAGACAAGAAATGGCTGTGAGTGAAGGGCATGGAGGATAGTTTTTTGAAAATTTGGAATGTCCTTGGTACCTTGGACCAAATGGCATTGTGTGTAATTCATTTTGATGTACATGACATACACATGCACGGTGCGACAGCAATGGTGTCTGCTTGCCCCAGGCAAGTGGTTTTGATCAGTGGACAAGTAGGTCATCAACCTTACCTGTCCTTTGGATAAGTAAATCCTCAGAAAATAAATTTAAATAAAATGGTGCCTTTAGCCCGTTTCAGTGAAACATAAAGTACACAGCCAGGTTTTTGCAAGCGTAAAACAGATTACTTTTTGTGGAAGTAACGTACAAGTTAGAAATGAAAAGAGAACAGCATTGATGCAGGTGACTTATGATCTATCTACCATTTTATTTCATTGCGCTCTGAAGGGGGCCTGGGACTTTTGGGGGGGTTAGCTTTTGCATTTATAATAGAGTGTTTTCTCTCACGTGACTTGGTTTCCTAGCAACCTTACTATCCGCCATGTTGGTGTCCCAAGAA